AATGACACAACCACCACCACCGTCACCAGAACAGCAAACATCGGCAGTATCGCCATCACCAGGAGTAGATACACCCGCAGCGCGATCACGAGAGGCGGGAGATCCAGAAGAAGGAAGAGGAATACCGCCGGCACGAAAAGCTTCACACAATTCAACAGATGAAAAGCACAAAGCGCCACCTTTACGAAGCGAAAAAGAGTCCGCAGCACCGAAACCGCCTTCAGCGGATGGCGTGCTTGAGCAAAACAGTGAAGACACAACAACAAAAGAGGCGATAAAGATGGATGCACATACCGATGGCCCAGCGGCAACATCAGAGCAATCCACCTCCGCAAGTGAAAGTGGTGTCGTCAAGAGAAATGAGAGTGAGGATGGTGACAATGCTCAACGGCCTGAACCCAAAGGACAACACAATGACCCTGATGCCGTAAATACCAAGGCTGCTCCCACGGCCAGTGAGGCTGCATCATATACAGCGAAAACGGTCCCCGCACAAAAAAATGATACTGTGACGTATGGCGACATTGACGGCGGCACCGCGGTCTCCCACACCACCTCTCCTCTTTTTTCTCTTGTTGTTGTTGCGTGTGCGGTTGCTGCTGCGGTGGTGACCGCGTGAGAGTGAGGGAGAGAGAGCCGTGCACCGCCCGCACACACACTCGTCCTTCTCTCTCTCTGTGTGTGTGTGTCCCCTTGCATGGACTCTCGCCCTCAACTCACGAGGCACACAATAATGTGCCCATTGTATATATGCATGCACACCCATGCAGGCCCGTTGGTGCTCTCTTTTGCACGACACGCACCGCTGCCGTCCTGCCTGGCTGCATGGGCGGAGCACCGTAACTGTTTCTGTTTTGTTTCCATTGCATTGAGTGGGCGACCTCTCTCTCTCTCTCCCTGTGTGTGTGTTTTGCTTTACGGGAGTAATGAGAGTGTGTGTGCGCTAGTCGTCCCACGCTTCGGCCTCTTGTTTTTGTTTTTTTCATTGTTTTATTTGTGTTGTGTTTGAGTGCATCCATTCCGCTTTTTTGATCGGCGGCTTGCTTTGACTGTGGACGCCTGAATTTTTCTTATTGTTTCCATACTGTTTTCATCCTGTTAAGGAAGTGTTAGCTACTCGTATCCTTCTAAAGCCGCCACGCTCTTTCTTCTACATACGTCATGCGTCAGTTGGTCCATGGCACCCCACAGTTGACTGCAGCGCTGCTGGTGCTGCTTGCGATGATGCCTGCGGTGTGATTGCTAGCGGATGCCTCGTTGTCACTCTGACGTATACTTGCGTCATTGGTTGTGTGGGGCGTCCGACGGCGCGTGGGCGTCTCTGGTGATAGTGAGGCACGTGCCTCCCAAAGCGTCGGATGCGTCGCAGGTGTACAGCGCCGTTCGTAATATCCGGTGGGTGTCTGTCCCCGTGAAGGCGTCCACAACGGTCCCGGATGACAGCGGGAGGCACTGCGGCTTCACTTGGTGTTGCACAGCGACTTTATTTGACGGGGTGTTTGATTTGCGTCTCTTGGGGCTTTAGTTGGAGAAGGTGGGAGGTTGAGGTCATTAGGACTGAATTCATTTGAGTGGCTGCGTTCCGTTGACTTTCGGCCAGTCGTGGCACTCTTTTGGGGTTTGGCGGCTCGTCTCTTTTGTTTACTTCCCACTGCAGCACGTGGACAACACTGATGTGAAGAACATTTGTTTGACCGCGTGTGGGCTGCTGCCGTGCGTGGTGCGTGGACTATGTGATTGCGTGGGGAGGTGCATGGAGTGACGAATACTTCTGTTTGGCGTGTCGCGGTGTGTCGGAATGACGTTCGGATGACATGTGAGGGGTGTCGCTTGTAATTTGTGTTTTCTCTGGTGGAGCCGACATGTGTGCGGGGATTGTGGCATTGCTGGCCGACAGCTCCACGTCACTTTTCGGCATTCCTGGATGTGCTGAGGAATGACGGCTGACGAACAGCGTGTTGGTGCTGCTGGTGGGAATAAGTGCATCGGGAATTGGCCGTTTTCTCTTTTCCGTGCTGGAGCCGATGAGCTGGCACGAGGGCACCGGCTGCAGGCTGCCTGCCAGCACGTGTGAGCAGCGGATCCATGCACACACCGACGCTCATCGCGAGAGCGTGCGCGATCACGGTGGCATTTGTGGCGTGCATTTGTGGACGTCAGCCCATCGAAGAATGTGTGAAGCAAACGGCTGACTGCACACGAGGGAAATAAGTGCGTGCACTGTGCCGTGTTTCAGCGTCGATGGCAGAGCGGCAGGAGGCCCGTGCTGGCAACTGAGATCTTTGCGTCGCGAGGGATGTCTGTGTTGATTTTGTGTCATCAAGGGTGAAGTGATTTTGCTGCTGCCCGTGTGTGTGGCCACTCCGGCGGAGGGCGGACACAAAAGGGAGGGATGCAAGCGCTGCGTGTGTGTGCAGGTGCCATGCAACAACGTCTCAACAAAAATGCTGCGACTCGGTGACCCTCACATCGTTGTGGTCCTCACGAACAGCCGAGGCACCACCCACACCGATGCACTTAGTGGACGGAGTGAGGCATTTTTTGAGGCGCTGCAGGGAACAGGTTGTGTTGGCGCAGCCACGACGTGCATAGAGCGTCACGATGGCACAGTCAGCTGTGGCTGGTGGATTATTTTCTTCTCGAAGGCAACGGAGAGAGAGAGAGAGAGAGCTGCTCCTGCTGCTGGCGTCGTTGCTGCCTCTTGTGGCCTCCCATGCCGATTATTGTCTGCCCGCTGATCATGGGTGGCATGCCTCCACTAGTGACGTCGTCTGCAGGCATTTCACAGCACCAGTGAAACACACATCACGTCGCATGCGTTGGCTGTGGATGTGGTGTCGTGAATGCAGCCGGCATTATTTTGCCCGACTCCCTTTCACTGCATTGCGACAAATGGATGCGTCCCCGCCCGAGTCATTCACTACAGCTCCGTGTGTTGTACTGCCAGCACAATACTCTCCTGTTGTGTGTCGCCTGGCTGACAGTCAAGCACCACTGCGTTGGGACATGCAAGGATGTGGACTGCCGCTCACGGTGTTGGGCACCGCTTTTTGGATGCGGCGGCCACACGAGCGGATGTATTGTGGCAAAATCAAATGCGTGAGGTACGCGGAATCACAGCGGCTGCAGTAATATCAGCGGTGTGGCACCACGGAATGTGTGAGGGGGTGATGCATGATGAATCACGGTGGGCGGCATGCGAGGGAGGTGCACCGCGACGGAGCGTCATCCGCCCTCAGCCTGCAGGGGAATGTGCACCCAGAGGAATATATGGTCGAGGCACCACCAAACACACATGCCCTTCTGTGCACCAATAAATAGGAGCGAAGGTGCGTTCTGGTGTGTGGGAGTCTACTCACATATTTTCATTTCCACCGCAATAAACGGTGAGGAATCAGGTGCCACTGCAACGAAAGGAGAAACAAACATCTATTGCAACACTTTACCAGCGAAAGGCAGGAACAACACAAACCGAATTATTGGCTGCACTTCCCGTGGACCAACAATCCACGTGGTGTGCGAGGATCATTCCCTTTTTACTGTTACTTTGCTTTTGTGTTGCTGTGTGCGCTGCACCTTCTTGTGTGTGTGCGCACCCTCCGTGAGGGGTGCAGACACGACGGACCGCTCTCGCCGTATGTGCATGTGGTGGAGCCTTGTGTGCCGCTCCTGTTTGCTTCTCCCTCTTCCATCTGTGTGTTGGTGTTGCGGCAGGGCTGTGTGTGTGTGCCTGCTGCCGTGGATTGGAGTGTGTGTCGTGCGTGGTGTGCGGCGTACGGTGCATGCCTGGCTGCTGCCCTCTCCTCATGTGGTGTGCCCTCTGTGTGTGTCTGCCGCACCTCTCGTCTCCCTGCTGCTCTCCATGTCCCTCACTGTGCAGATCAGCTCCACACCACTGAACGACCACACTCACGATGATGACGTGCCGTCTGCTGTGCGCCCTGTTGGTGCTCGTCCTGTGCTGCCGCCCGTCCGTGTGTGTGACAGAGGGTAGCGATAAACCAGCTCAATCCGTTCAGAATTCCGATCCACAACCGGGAATAAGTGGGACGGACGGTAGGCAGAAGGATAAAAACGAGGGCCCAGGTCCAGGGGTCGTTACACCAACGGATCAAGACAATAACAAAGTAGGAGAAAAAACGGTTCCGAAAGCCAATGAGAATGCCAACAGTCAAGATGCACCAGTTGCGTCTGTTCAGTCAGCGAAAACAAGTGCTGCGGATAACTCCGCAACGATTTCAAAAGCTGTGATTGCACAGTGCAAAAAACGACGACTACGACAAACGCACCAACTGCAAGTACGACTACTACAACAACCACCGCGCCAGAGGCACCAAATAATACGGCGATGAATACAGAGGCGCCAACCACGACGACCACCACCGCACCGTCACGTCTTCGCGAAATTGACGGCAGCCTCAGCAGCTCTGCGTGGGTGTGTGCCCCGCTGGTGCTCGCCGCATCCGCGCTGACGTACACCACTGTGGGCTGAAGAGGTGTATGCGGGCTGTGTGTGCCAGCACTCAGCCACGGGGAAATGTGTGTGTCCACTGTGGTCCGATGCATAATGTAAGAGCAATTATGATGATTGTGTTTTTGCTTCCGCTGCCCTGCTGTGTGCTCCGTGCTGTGCGCCACATCCGTCACGTTGAACGCATCCCAAACATACGCATACGCACGACACGCACACAACTGTTTGCGTGGACACACTGTTGAGGATAGAGGCGTGCGCGCTGGAGCCATACTGTGCGGCTCTTTTTTGTGTGTTTTTACTGTTTTACTTTATTGCTGCCTGTTTACTTTTGTTTTTCCTTGGTTTCTGTGCTTTTCTTTACTTGCAGCGCATTGTGTCTTTTTTCACTTTCATTGTTTCAATATTTCTCATGAAATGCGTGCTGCTTCTGCTGCTGTTTTTTACTGTGCCGTGTCTTTTGTTGCTTTCACTCTGCGTTGACGGGGGGTTAGTTTGTGCTGAAGGCTACACGCAAGTGACAGGAGTGATGGCGATGACGATGACCGGCCGTGTGCTGCTGGTGTGTGCCCTCTGCGTGCTGTGGTGCGTTGCCGGCGGTGTTTATGCGAGGGACGTTGACACCAACGCACTGGGTGGCTGCATGGCGTCGGGAGTGTTGGGTGAGAATGGATTCCACATGCCTGACGGATGTAATGAAACTGCGATTACGGTGCCTTTGCGGTCAGTACTGCCCATTACTGTTGTCGAAGCCTCGGCTGGAAAAGGTGGTTCTGCTGGTGCTACTGGTGCTTCTGGTGGACCTGGTCCTGGTGATGCTGGAGGTTCTGGTGGTACACAGAAGAATTCGAATTCAAGTGAGACTTCCGACGCTGGTGTTCCTCGTGGTGGAGATTCTGATGGTGGTTCTGCTGCTGGTGAAAAAGGCGGTTCTGGTGGTGGTGGCAGTGGAACTTCTACTGATGGTCATGGCACCGGCAGCGTTTCTTCTGGTCTTTCTGCTGTTCCCGCTCCTGCTCCTGCTGCTCCTCCTTCCGCTCCTGGTCATTCTGGTGGTCCTTCCGCCCCTACTGATGCTCCTGGTGTTGACCCTTCAGCTGGCAGCAGTGGTGGTACAGCGGTGCCCCCAGGCAGTAATCCATCTAACACAACAGGGGTCTCTTCAACAGGAGATCAGTCGTCTGCTGCAGAGGCTAACGACACCTCGCCAGCCGAAGGACCGACAGGAACGACATCCGGCACTGGACATACACGACAAGAAGAAGAAGAGGAAGAGGAAAATGAGCGGCAGCAAAGTGATGAAGCACAAGTCCAACAACAACAACAGCATGAACACCCCGCGGAAAGTGGCGAAGAATCCGCGAAAAATAAAAGCGCCCTTCGTACAAATGCCACCGCAAATACAGGCGACAGTGACGGCAGCACCGCGGTCTCCCACGCCACCTCCCCTCTTTTGCCTCTTGTTGTTGTTGCGTGTGCGGCTGCTGCTGCGGTGGTGGCCGCGTGAGAGTGAGTGTGAGAGAGCCATGCACCGCCCGCACACACACTCGTCCTTCTCTCTCTGTGTGTGTGTCCCCTTGCATGGACTCTCGCCCTCACCTCACCCCACGAGGCACACACAATAATGTGCCCATTGTATATATGCATGCACACCCATGCAGGCCCGTTGGTGCTCTCTTTTGCACGACACGCACCGCTGCCGTCCTGCCTGGCTGCATGGGCGGTGCATCGTAAATGTTTTTTTTGTTTTTTTTTTTCTAAATTTAATTTTTTTTATTTGCTTTTTTTAATTTGCTTCTTCTATGAGCGTTTATATATTTTACTAAACCATTCCTTTTTTTTTGCTTTTGGGGGCAGTCACTATGGACGCTTTTCTTTTCTACTCTTCCCTCTTTTAATTGTTTGTTGCTGCACTCTTCCTGCGAGGGGTGCCGTGTGTTCCCGCCCAACTGCTCCACTCGCACACCCACCGACACGCTCATGACGACGGCCCTGTGCGCCTCGCCTGCTGCACGCATGAGGAGGGGCCGCGACGAACGGCGCGCTGAGGGAGCCGTGACGTGTGGGCGTGCGACGAGGGCCTGTGGGGCGGCGCACACATTTCTTCCCTCTTGTTTTGTTTTCTTTGCGGCCAGGGCGGGCAGACACCCGCAGCGCCACACACACACACACAGCCACACCCTGCCGCCGTGTTTTTCTTTAAAGTAATTTGTTTTTGCTTTGCGTGTGCATTTCTCGCGCCGGCAGTCCCTTCGGTGTCGGCCTCGTGAGCATTTCTCTCCCCTCCGATGATTTTTTCTTTTGCTGCGCTCACTCTCCCGATGGAGTGACGCGACTCCCGTCATGTCTGCGTGCTTCTCTCAGTCCCCACACACAAGAGTGACTGTGCTCTGCGGGCCGCACTCACGCGCCGATGAGAGGGCTGAGGGGAGCAGCAGCACGCAGATGACCGCATGAAATATAAACGATGTGCGGACACGCAGAGGGTCAGACGGTTGAAAGACATTTAAATATCTTTTAATTTTCTTTTGCGGGCAAAATAAATGCGGACAGTTTGTTGTGGCCACACGGCAGCCAGGCGATTTTTAAAATTTTGTGTGGAACAGTAATGGACGACTTCTTTTTTATTTATAATTATTTTGTGTGATGGGGTTTATATAAGACGAAGGGGAAGCTGTTTTTTTTTTTTTTTGGTTTTTAAATAAATCTTGTGTGAATTGCCATTGCTTGGGCTGCAGTGCAGTCATGAGTTTGAGCGGTCTTCTTCTTGTTGTTTCCGCCATGCACCTCCGCTGTACATTTTTGTGCGTCTCTCCACATGCTCTGGTCGCTGTTTTTTTTTGTTTTGTTTTGTGTTTCTGCAGGCACACACAACCACACAACCACAAGATGCACATTGCAGTGGATATGAATGCTCCTTTTGCAGTGCATGCTGGCAGTTGCGTGTGGCGGCTGTTGTCTTCCTCCGTGGCCATGAGGAGAAGGGAGGAGTGCGCAGCCCGAGTCTCCTTTCCTGCGGGTGTGATGCATCGCGTGCGACTGCGTTGAGTTGGGCTCCGTGTCCCATTGAGGGCGGGATGGCTGGAAATTTTTCTGCCGCGTAGCTAATGGATGGATGAGAGTTCACTCGCTCCGTGTGCGTTGTGTGGTGGCCGCGGCGTTTTTGCTGTTTCCCTGGGGCTGTAGCGATGAGCTGGGGGAGATGGTGGTGGATGTGTTCTCCTGCATGGTGGGTGGCTGCTGGCGTTGTGTGCCTTCCTTGCGTGGATGCCGTCTCGTGGTGTGTGAACTGTGCGGCTGGGCCTGCTGCCCTCTCCGCATGTTGTCTGCTCTCTCTCGCTGTATCCGCTGTGCTCCGTCCCTCTCCCTCTCGTTGCATTCCTTTTCTTCTGCCTCACCGATCAGCTGACTGACTCCAGCGACTCCACTACGCGTGACGATGACTGCGATGGTGACGATGGTGACGGTGCGACGCCGTGTTGGTCCTTGCGCTCTTGTGCTGCTGCTGCTCGTCCGTGTGTGTGGCGGCTGCTGGGAGTGCTGGAGATGTATCTGGTGATGCGGATGCGGTGGTTGTGCCGGTGGATGTGTCGTGTGCTCCGAGTGACGGCAGCCTGAGCTATCGCGTGCTTGTGTGTGTGGGCGTGGAAGTAGTGTTCTGCTGCCGGTGCTGAGGCTCAGTGTGAGAATTATAGTTTCAGTGGCTTTGGTGTGCGCATGCATGGCAGGAATGGTGAGCTGGGTGCTGTGTGCCATGTGGCCCATGCGGTGCACACATGTAGCAACTGTGCTGCCAGCTGTGCAGCGGAAGAGGAAGGGGCCACCGTTGCCTTCACGATGAATGTGACGACGCACAAATACGCCGGCCCTTATGAATTGTGGTGGCGTCAATTTTCTCCCGATGGAACCATCCATCCGCCTGCACGGAGCGGCGATGCTGACCGGACGGGCATCTGTCAGTTGCCGCCACCCCGTGAAGGGAAGGATGACACAAAATCTGGTGGGACAACTGCGCCGCAAGTGAATGCTGAGCCATCACGTCAACACGAGGATCGGCGACGGTCTGCGGCGGCTGACGGACCCAACACCGTCGATCGGAGTCCCGCATCCAACACGGCGACCAACACGTCCGAGACGAGGCCTGAGTTTGCCAGCAATCCGAACGAAGTGATGGTCCCGAATGCATCCAAGAAGAGGCCTTCCTTTGCCAACGGTCCGAGAATATTGGTGTCGTCGAATGCATCCGGGATCATGTCTGCCACTTATGGCGGCAGGGAACACGTTGCTGCGGATAACACGGACGAGGTGAGTGAGCGCAGCGCCACTGGACACAAATATCTCGTTTTAGAAAATGGCGTTGCAGGCAGTGGATTTGTTGCTGAGGGTGATGCGGGCGGATTGATTCAACGCAATGCCTCTGGACACGAGAGCAAACCCCAATTACGAGAATTCACCGCGCAGTATTCCGGGAGCGGTGTGGGTCTACACGACTGCTTTGCCCTGCTCAACGACGCTCAATTGACACTGCGAGAGCTAACTGTTGGCAGCACTGTGCGTGTGTGCGTGTATTGGGTGTTGCTGCTTCTTCTTGGATTGTGTGGAGTTGTGGCGGTATTGTGAGCCGAAGAGTGTGGCATTGCGACTCCTCACGAAGAACACGTGCCGCGTTCTCTGCGTGTTTTCTTTTGCTATTTACATTTTACTGTTGGCTTTGTTGCCTTCCTGTAATGATAAGCATCCTTGCTGTTCCTTTATTTAATGGTCGGTTGCTGCACACTGTCATGGGTGACGTGTTTCTCCTCTTGTTTTGTTTCTGTTGCCCACACGCGGTGCCGGCCTCATTGCTGTGCGTCCCACGGACTGCACGAATGGAGGATTGGAGGGACAGGCCGGATGCCGTAATGAAGTGTGAAGAGTGTTGTGTGGCCTGGTGGAACAGTAATATTTTTTTTCTCATGCAGGCAGTATTTATACAAAAACACAGACCTGCTGAGCTGCATGGCGTGTGAAATTTTAATTTTGCTGAGGTATGTTTTTTTTTTTTTTTTTGGCGGAGGGACTCCTGTTGGGCACTCAACTACTTTTTTTATTGTTTTGGTATTGCTTTTTTGCTTCTGTTTTGCAGGTCGACGTGCGCGCTTGTGCTGCTGTCATTTGTGGCTGTGCGGTGGCTGTGCGTGGCTGTTGTGTGACTTGTCTCCCCTTTTGCTTTCACTCTGCGTTGACGGGGGGTTAGTTTGTGCTGAAGGCTGCACGCAAGTGACAGGAGTGATGGCGATGATGATGGCTGGCCGTGTGCTGCTGGTGTGTGCCCTCTGCGTGCTGTGGTGCGGTGCCGGCGGTGTTTATGCGAGGGACACTCTCAACAATTCACCGGGTGTCTGCATGGTGCCAGGAGGGTTTGGAAAGAAAACATCGTATTTGGCGAGTGGATGTAATAAGAATTCGCCGACGCTCTCTTTGCGTCCAGCGTTGCCCATTGCTGTCATACAAGCCGAGGATACTGAAGAAGATGCTGGTTCCGACATTACTCCAGGAGGTGGTGGTGGCGGAAGCGGTTTAAATTCTGCTAGACAAGATGGTTCTGGCAGCAGTCAAACTGATTCTGTGCCTGGTGCTGGTCTCCTTCCTCCTGCTGGTGTTTCCGGTGTTGGAGGTAATCCTTCGGGGTCTGTCACTCCTGGTGGTGATTCGTCACCTGACCGTAGTGTTGGCACGGGGACCAGTGCCAGTCTTTCATCTACCTTGCAAGGTGAATCCGGAAAAAAAGTTTTGCAAAGAGATGAGGCGAAGGATCAGAATCACCAGTTGCCCAACGGAAAGGCACCGGATACGCCCGTCGTTGAAACGCAGTCACGGGGCTCTGATACAACAAGGGGGCAAGATGTTGGCGGCGCTTCTACATTGAGTGGAAAAGAACAGCGGTCTTCGGAAGAACCAGAGAAAAAAGACGGGGATTCAGACATTCCTCAAACAGTTAATACACCAGAAGACCAAAATAAAGAATTACAAGAAAAAGGAAAAGCCTTACTGGAATTATCAAACGGATCACTGCCGGAACCAAAAACTGATCATCCAAAAACGAATCCAGAAAAAGAGAAGAATGGCGGCCAGAACACGAGTGCATCCACGGATTCACCTGCAAAACAAGAGGGAAATAGCGAGGATCCTGTATCCAATTCGGACACTGCGGAGAGTGTATCGACAGGCAGTCAAGAACAATCAGCAACGACATCTTCAAATGAAGGCTCTTCACCAATTCAGAAGGAAACATCCACTGAAAAGAATACTGTGGAGAATTCTCAACCTTCCGATACTGCACAGACAGAAAAACGCCAAAGTGTAAATAAGGAAAAGGTCGGCGACAGTGACAGCAGCACCGCGGTCTCCCACGCCACCTCCTCCCTTTTGCTTCTTCTTCTTGTTGTTGCGTGTGCGGCTGCTGCTGCGGTGGTGGCCGCGTGAGAGTGAGGGAGAGAGAGCCGTGCACCGCCCGCACACACACTCTTCCTTCTCTCTCTGTGTGTGTCTCCCCTTGCATGGACTCTCGCCCTCACCTCACCCCACGAAGCACACGCATAATGTGCCCATTGTATATATGCATGCACGCCCATGCAGGCCCGTTGGTGCTCTCTTTTGCACGACACGCACCGCTGCCGTCCTGCCTGGCTGCATGGGCGGAGCACCGTAACTGTTTCTGTTTTGTTTTTATTTGGTAAGTGTTTTAGTTTTTTCTTATTGTTTTTTGTTGTTGTAAAAAAACTTTTTTTTTGCTTTTATCAAACTTCTAATACCCATCCCACTTTTTTGCTTTTGGGGCAATCACTATGGACGTTTTTTTCTTTTCTACTCTTTTAATTGTTTGTTGCTGCATTCTTCCTGTGAGGGGTGCCGTGTGTTTCCCGCCCAACTGCTCCACTCGCACACCCACCGACACGCTCATGGCGACGGCCCTGTGCGCCTCGCCTGCTGCACGCATGAGGAGGGGCCGCGACGAACGGCGCGCTGAGGAAGCCGTGACGTGTGGGCGTGCGACGAGGGCCTGTGGGGCGGCGCACACATTTATTCCCTCTTGTTTTGTTTTCTTTTGCGGCCAGGGCTGGCAGACACTCGCAGCGCCACACACACAGCCACACCCTGCCGCCGTGTTTTTCTTTTCTTTTCTCTGGTTGGGCGTGTGCTGCCACCGTTCGTGATTGGGGAATTTTGGGTCTTACCGCAT